ATATAATGATCATATAATAATTTATATACTTATTTCGATAATTAAATTTATGCATAGATTAATACTTTTATTAATGTTTTATTCTTTTTGTAGAAAACATTTAGACATATAACATAAATAAAGATTATTATTATTTACATTTTTTGTTTGTTTTTTTATTGTTTGAATTAATATTAAATTTTTTTATTTTAAATTTTATTTTTTATTGTTTATATTTTAGATAATTTCTTTATAGCAAAACTTTTGATAAATTTTTTATACCTATTATTTTTTAGATCTAAGTAATTATAAATTATTATATGATCATTATATATTTTAAATTATAATAAAATATTAATTATTATTTTTTTAATTCTTTAATTTTTGAATTATAAAATAATTAACTAAAATATATTACAAAGTAATTAATAAAAAACAATCAAATTAAGGTTATGTTTCAATATAATAACCGCCAAAATATTAAAATAATATAATATTAAATACAATAGTCAAATAGGAAAAACCGCGAAAAATTTAAATTACTCACATCATCTAGATCTATTTCAGAAGTCATGTTTTTTTCTTGTGATGAAAATAAATTTTTTATAGCAGCCTAACTGTTTTTAAGAGCCGCCACTGATTCGATTAACCAATCAGCTGTAACGTGATTTATATAGATATCACATGATTATTTTTTTTTATTGAATCTGAATTATATAAGAATATTTTAAGATAATATAAATTCAAATATCTTCTTGAATATTTATTATTTCTAGTAATATTTATTTAAAAAAGGAAATAAGGTTGTAAAAATATGAATGTTCATTTTTTTTATAAAAAAGATATTATATTATATTATGGAGAATTCAATTTAAATATATAGGATATAGGTATTTAAATATATAGGAATAATATAATATATTTGAATTTTAAATACATCATCTTTCCATTTTTTGTAAATATTTGTGCATCTTTCATTGTAAATATTTTCAATTTATTATTAACATTATAAATGAATTATTCTTTCAATTTTCATTAATATTATAATTTATATAATAAAATTTGAGTTCCGTCAAAAATACAAAAATTTTTTCAATATAAAAAATTTACCATTGTAAAGATTTAATGGCAGAATGATAACTTGGACTGTGCTGCGAATAAAATTGAGCATACCATCTGCGATAAGCAAGTATGCTTTTATCTTCTTTGACCAAGAGAGGTTGTTTTTCAAACTTCTTTCGATTCCAAATGGCTACATCTCTTTCAAACATTAAGCATTCTGCTAAGAATAACATACTAGCATATGGACCAAGCAGAGGAGGAGAATATAGTAAATGAGTCACCTAATAATAAAAATGATAATAACAATAATTACAATAAAGAAAATATTTCTTAATAAATAAAAAAACAATGATTCAAAATAATGCAGTAATTAATTTTTTTACTGAAATTTAAATTTTTTCTAAGAAATAAGTTTATTATTATTATTTTTTAAGGAAAATTGTATTCTTTTAATAAATTAGTATATAATTAATAATATATAACATATAATTAAAAAAAATACAAATAAAATGTAGAAAAAAAATGTAGAAGAATTTTAATAATGTTATATATTTAAAATTTTAAGAACCTTTTGTAAAAGGGGTTCCATTGGTGTTACTGTCTGAAAAATACACATTGATCCCAAAGAAGTATGCATCATAAGTTCGACATATCCTGGGCCTATTTGTTGAACATTTACATCCAATTGTAAAAATTTAAATTTCTCAAATAGAATTAGACTGTGTCTTAAAGTCATATATGCTCTATGCCTTAAGTTTTCATCATCTTGTTTTATTGCTTTGATTTCTTTAGAATCTTGGGATTTTAAGAAAGAATTATGTGGTGTCCAATTAACGTTTGTCCATGAATGACGAGCGAAAGAAGAAAAAAAATTTGCAATTTTTGTAAATATTGCTGGACCATGTACTGCACTAAGATGTGCTGAATCAGCACCATTTTCTGCAACTTCCTGAAAATTATAATATTTATATTATAATATTTTGTCTAACTTTATTTTTGATTAAATATTTTATTATTATCAATTTTTTATTTTTATTTGATATTGAATAAAATAAAAATTAAATATGGTTTATCTGTAATTTTTAATAATTTTTTGTAAAATATTTATTTTTGTATATTTAATACAATTGTATAATATTTTTATTATTTTTTGCCATATTAATTTTAACATTATTTTTATTTTATTAATTAACATCTTAATTTTGTTTTAGTTGGAAATGATAGTTATGAGTTTCTTACCTGTTTAAACTCAAAACAACGATCATCATTCTTAGAATTTGTCATGGAGGCTGCAATCAAGGAGTCCATTTCTTATTTCAAATATCCATCAGCTTTATTTAACACATCTAAAAAAAAAAAAAAAAGAAGAAAAAGAAAAAATAATAAAAGATCGCCGCCGATCTAAATGTTAATGATAATTTGGTTTCCTTGATTTTAGTTTCCATGATCGATTGAAATCTTTATTTTAATTATTTAATCTTCAAATATTAAAACTTAATTTTTTTTATATATATATTATAGATAAAAATTTTAGAATAATAAAAACAAAATTTGAGTTTTTATTCAATGTTTCATATTATTTTATATTATAAAATATTATTTATATTATAAAATAAACAAGTAATGAAATTGTATATAAATTAATTAAAACCTGACCTGTATATGACAATTAATAAGAAATTCATTTCGTCCATGATAACGCCATGTTCGATTTAAAACATGGCTAATTGTTTGTGGTTGCCAATTCGGTTCTAATCCCTCTGCATGGTACCAAACGAAAATAATTTCATTAGCTTCACAACTTTTCCAAGTTTTAGTTCTAGCAATATGTGGCACTAAAATAAAATATACACTATAATCAATATATAATATATAAACAACTTTAATAATTAAAATTGAAAAAAGATAACATATAATTAAATAAAATTATAATTTGAATTACCTTTATCGGCATATGGGATATGATTGCATTGCCCATCAGAACCACGAAATTGCCAACCATGAAAAGGACATTCTAAGCAATCACCTTTTACACGTCCACCCTCGGCCATATTTGCACCCAAATGAGGACAGTAAGCATCTAAAATTCTTACTGTCCCATTATCTGTTCTTTAATAATAATAAATATTATTATTAAATATTATTATTAAATTTATATAAAGATCAATTGTGCTTTTAACAATTTCTTGAATTAAAATCAATTATAAAATAAATTTTTTAATTTTTTAATCATTTAATCATTTTCCATATAAATATTAAAATACCTGAAAACTGCAAAATTTTGTCCAAGTGCAGCTACATGTTTTACTTGACCTTTATCTAATTGAGAACTTTCTAACAAGGCAAACCATCCGTTTGGATAAACTGGAGGAAGTTTACCCAATTTTCGTTTCTTTGAT